CAAAAAAGGGGATACATATGTCCATAGTTTGGTGGATTCTAATGAGGACTACATGATCCTATGTAGTCCTCAATAGGACCAAATAAGTAAATCTACACCAGAAAAATTATGTAGGAAAAGTTTAAGCTCAAAATAAGAAAGTAGTTTGGATATCAAAAACCATGCTCATCTGGATCTATATCAAAGTCAAATGTGTTACCTGGAGCAAATTTAAGCCAAAAAAAATAGGTTCAGCGCTAATTTTGGTCTATGTATCACCTAGACCATGCAGTTCAATTTTGTTGGTCAATCAATCATAGTTTTCATTAGCAAATAAACTAGAAGGCTAGAACACCGTGTTTGCCTTTTCTAGCTTAATAACAATAGGAAAGCAAAAACAGGATTAGCATTTAACCTTCACTATTGTAATGGCATGACACCACCGCATTGCAACATGATGATCACTATAACTGAACAGAGCATAATACCTTATTACCAGCAATAGCATGATGGCCATCACTTGCACTCGATGACCCTTCCATGAGGTATGGTATCTCGAGAAAATCTTTCAAGATCGAGATAGAATTGCAGATGAGACAACTTTCTGCTCAAGTGAAAGAACCGTCTCAACAGTCTGTCCCAAAGATACATTTGTCAGCTCACCTAGACAATCACCATGTATATTTATAACATATAACAAGATCAAGACCTTGGTATGAGGTTACAAAAAAAGACTACAAGCCAGTTAAACGTGAAAAATGTAAGGACAAGGTACATATTCATCAACAACCCAGAACCAAAACAAGATGTGCAATTCTTTGTCATGAGGGAGCAACAATGTGCTATTTCCTTCTATCCCTGCTCTGCCATTCTTCAACCACTGAGTTCGCAAACTTTCTTCAAATAAATTAGCTTTTGGCTATGAATAGGCTAGTTATCTTTTATCAATCCCTACACAATACAAGTCCAAACCCACAAAAATTAAGGTCCCTACACAATACAAGTCCAAACCCACAAAAATTAAGGCATTAAATCTAAGACATTCCATTATATCTCACCATGCATGCCCCTGTCAAATGGCTTCTCTATTAATAAGGTAATAAAACAACACACCCCAAGAAAATAGAATATTACTGTGAAACAAAAGGAGTATGAAATAGAATATGATCATATTGTAAAAACTACAAACTAATAACCATAACGGCTAATAAGGAATGAAAGTGACTTACTTTAGGAGCTCGTTTCCTTGTGGATGTAGGTTGTTCAACTGCAAGAGGATCGAAAAAAGGTTCCGGTTTTGGGCAACGTTCCACATAATGCGCATATACAAGTTCGTTGAAGTTCATTCGTATTTCTTCCCTTGTTGGTAAGGGGCTGCCTGAAACATTTACTGACCCATTAATGGGAAGGATAACTTTGAAAATGTTATGGCTAAAAGGCCAAAGTTTAGACAGAAAAGAAAGCAAACATTATCAAAAAAGAGCAAAGAATGGTAAGATAACCACATCAATAAAAATACCGACCTTCTGGTACTTTAAATATTGTTCGCTCCACAAGTTGCTCAAATGTTAGCCTACCATTCTGAAGTAATCCTTCGAGAAGAACTTCTGACTGCGAGTTGCAAAACGTCATAAAAAAGCTAACTATGACTAAATATGTTGGGACCTAAAGTTACAACAAGTCCTTCTTTCTGATAGAGAATAAAATGGAATGAATGACAATTTCAGTGGTACAAGTAGTACATCGACTAAAGAGAAGTTGATGTTAAGAGTTAAGACTATGCCTGTTAGTTCTCTTGTAGTCTTATCAACTGTCACAAACCAATAATTGCTACTGCAGTTAGCAAATCGCAAAAGAGCATAACCAATTAAATTGAACATTTAGGATGGGCATCATAAGTTGCACTTTCTAACTCTAAGGTTAATTGATCAATTTGAACATATATGATCAATATTGGTAACCAAAATGCTTTCTAACACTGGTTATAACTCACACAACAAGTTTAGGATGCAAACAAGACATAATATCTTGAACATCTTGAACCTTTACTTAGTAGGGACATGTCGTGCCGGTGGCTGTCCAAGGAACACCAGATCGTGCCAGTAGGATGATGCAAATGACATTAGTTTGTTACTATATGACATATATGTAAAACTTTTACATAGGTTGTTAGTTAGATTGGATTTACATATCTAGGTTCTGATTTTTTTGAAATAATATTATTTTAATAGATCATCATCGCGCCTCGGTCTTGTGTTTGGGTGCCACCGTCCAAGCATATGCCCATTCTCAAGTGTCCCGTCAAGCATCCATTCACCCTCGAAGACTCTCAATCCTCTCATACAAGCCATGGACCCTAACCGAGGCCATAACAGAACATGAAATGGAATATTTCAGATCCTACAAAACAGGCGTAGAAGTCCAAAGACCAAACAAGATCCCATAGGAGGAGGGAGAATAATATGTCCCAAGCATTGCTAGCTTGATCATGCGAAATGCAAAGTTCAGATAGAAAGCATTGACTACCCATTATTCTCCAAATAACAAGTACAATTTGAAATATTATGAATGCATCAATGTCATTGACAATGTCGAGTGGTCACTACCCAAGGCACCAGATCTGACTAATGGTGCACATTCTACGTTGTCCAGACAATCTTTAGTGTAGCATTAGGAAACTCAATGGCCCATACCACAACTCGGAACATTAAACAAGGTGAAGATGCATCTACCAAACAACCACATCCACCTACCTTTTACTCCATATTGACTTCAGCAATTAGAGAAGAACTGTCATGACCGATTATACCAGTTTGATTTTAAAATGTAACAAAGATAAATGAGCGATTGCAATCAAACTTATATAAACTACCTGCGGAATATCCACACGGACGACGTAAAGGAACTTTGAGAAGCGCAAGCGGTGTAGGACATTGTCGAAGATGGCCAAGTAGAGCGTCACCGTCTTATCGCCACCCCCGCAAGCCGCCTAATAGTGGCATCAAATTACGATAGTCCACCAAATCGGATGCTAAAAGCAAGGTTTCGCAGAGGGTCTTGCCTCTCCGGGCTTGTGTAGGCACTGGGACGCAGATTGTCTTTGAATGAGGATGAGGAGGAATTCTTCACCTGCACCGGGCGAGAGCTCGAGGCGGGGGACGATCTCCAGCAGCGATGATAGCCCCTGTGGCGCAGAAGACAAATGACACACTTTCTCGCGAAGAGGGACTCCGCCGGGCGGGTGTTAGGGCAGCGCATTCGCAAGCGCTCGCTCATGAGCGCATGCGAGAAACGGGGGGAGAGGAGGGGCGAAGGCGGCCTTTACGGATACGATGGGGCGAAGTGGTCGGAGATGATGTTAACGGCGAGGAGGATGCCGTCTTTGCGACACCATGGCGTGCGGCCTTGTGGCATGGCGACAAAGGGAGGTATTTGGGTTTGGGTGCGAGATGCGGTGGCCGACGGTGGTCTCGCCGCGCCTAAACCCTCGTCGAGGGGAGGACAGGTGGAATGGGGAATTGATGTCAATGTGATGGACGGCCAGGATTGAATCGAAGAGTCAAAGCCCAGAAACGCCTGAACCGCCTCACGGGATATTAGACCTGTTTGGTACTGGAATTAAAAAAGAAAAGACCTAGTATTTGGTATACTGGACTACTGGGCTCTCTGGAGGCCGGGGGCGCGCAGGCACCGGCTCCACGAAGGCCGGGGGTGCCCAGCGCCACCTCGCCAGAGCCGGAGCGCGCGTGTGTGTGTGGGCGGGGGGCGGCACGGGCGCGGTTCGCCCGAGGCGCTGAGCGTGGGGCGGCCGACGGTGCGGAACGCGGGGACCAGGGAGCGAGACAGACGAATGACCAGATAGGTGATTCCACGATTCACCTAGCCAGCTATCTCCCGCTCCCCGCTCTCGCTTCTAGATTCCTGGATCTCGAGCCCTAGCTGCAGACTGCCGGCGTGTGGGGCTAGGCAGGCGGCGACAGGCGCGCGGGGCCATGGGCGCAGCGAGGCCACGCGGGCACCGGGCAGCGAGCCAGGGATGGGGGACCGGCACTCAGTGAGCGGGCGGCGGCGGGGCCTGGGAGCGCCGGGGCCGACGCAGCCCGTGCTCTCAGGTGCTCATCATGGTCAGCCTGCAACCTGAGGAGTCAGACGTCTTGTCCAACTGAGGATAAGAGTATTTACATTTTACAAATAACAAATTTGCAATTGTAAGGTGAGTATTTTACTAATAACAAATTTGCAATTTCAGGTCACGAAGAATCGCAAGGAAAAGCAACATTGTACTATTTTGTACGTTCTCTTCATTACTTAGGGCCTGTTTAGATTCCAAAAAATTTCGCAGTACCTATCATATCGAATCTTACGGCACATGCATGGAGTACTAAATGTAGACCGAAAAAAAACTAATTGCATAGTTGGGTGAGAAATCGCGAGACGAAACTTTCGAACCTAATTAGTCCATAATTAGACACTAATTGCCAAATACAAACAAACGGACTACAGACCCAAAAACAAAAAAAAATTGGCATCTAAACGAGGCCTTACTAGTTTGTTTTAGCATATTTTATCGTTAAATAATTGGTTATTCGACTACTTTTCTGTGATTTTAATTATGGGCAACGTACTACTCTAAACTATCGATTGTTTTTTTATGTGGAAGTGGAAATACCCAAGGTTGGAATCCTGGCTCCGCCACTGTTCCCATGTGCCAAAAGATTGGGAGACGAGGTTGGGAGTTGTTGGGGATGCATTTTTTTCTTTCTTGTCAAAAATCCTAGATGAAGAGAGTGTTTTGGAAATTGTTGGAGATGCTCCGACCCACCATTTTATCCAAAATCTTCAGCTAAAGGCTGTGTGGAAAACTTCCTCCTCAACTTTCTCCCAAGAATGCCTATCAGCGACCACCTCTTTACTCTCCTGAACCACCACCTCATTTTTTTTATCTATCCTATGTCCCGTAACTCTACCATGATCCTCTCAAAAAAACTAACTCTGCCATGTGAATCTAATGCAATGAAGAAATGCTCGACGTTGGCCTCGGCGTCCGACTGATAGTAGCTGCAGCCGCTGCGCCTCCAGTTCCAGCACCACCAGGCAAACCGCCCTTTCCTCTCTCCTCCTCCCTCCGCCGCCGCTGCTGCTCCAGCTGGTGGTTCTTCAACGGCAACGCCCATGGAAGAGACATCACCACCACCACCACGAGCATCAGGACGAGGAGGAGGAGGTGGTGGTCCGACCCAGACGGCAGCCAAGAAGACTACGGTTCCTCTTCTCTAGAGGAGGAGGACGATTACGATTACGATTACGAGGATGAGGCTGCGTTCTCCGGATTTGGCTGGGCCGGGGAGCTATTCGACGAGTCCTGGTTCTCCAAGGTCTGCTACATACGTACTGTATAAGATTTCTGTTTTTTTTTCTTCCTCTCTGTTACGCTCTCTCATTATGTCATCAATAATTTTCATATCAGATCAGTACTGTAATAAAATCAATGAACGAATAACTGTGCTTCGTTGTTGTCGTAGTGACTGATCAATGGCCTGCTGCTTTCTATACTTGTGCCTACTAGGTATTTAAGACGTACGGAGTCCTTCTACCGGTGATGCTTATGTCCATGTTTGCTGCAACGGGGCTAAAGTCCTTTCTAATGGCCATGGCGATCCCGCTCAGTCAGTCGGCCATATCATCTCTGCTTCGGAGAAAAGGCAACCACGATGACTGGTGGGGGATTTTCTTCAAGAAAAATGACAGGTGGAGGAGACCATTCGAAGAGGAGGAATACCCCGAGGACGCCACTGGCTTTGCGACAGGTGGTCGAGGCAATGGATACAGCAGCAGCAGCAGAAGCAACCATTATGAAGGGAGGAGAAGGAGGCACAACTACCAGTCATGGTTTCCTAAAGATTTTGCTGCTGCTGCCTCAACTGCTGTTGGAGCTGACGATAACACCAAGAGCAGCAGCAGTGGAGATGGCGGAGGCAACAAAAGCAGTGGCGGATATGGAGGATGGGATGAGCTTCTGGACAACAACACTGCTGCTGCCCCGGAGGCGAAGAGGAGCAGCAAGCTAGCAACTCATTCTCAGCTGGCAACACTAGTTACAGCACGAAATCGCGGCCTTCAGCGACTAGGGAGGAAGATGCGGATTATTACCGCCGCCGGTGGTGGCGGAAGAGTGGAGCAGGGAGTAGGAGCTCCTCCTGAAAGAAAGAGAATGAGACGACGGGGGATGCCAAGAACGATGGGGCTGGGCGGTACCAGATACAAGCAGGCACCACTCTTCATGCGCTTGTTTGTGGCAGTCTTCCCGTTCCTGGGATCATGGTTCAGGCTGCTCTGAATTGTAGTGTTATATATTAGCCCATGGTGGTTCATTCATGAATTCAGAAAAAAAAATACAAGTGACCAGTGGCAGTAAGGAAAGGATTACAATTGTGTCTTCAGGGCTTCAGGCAGTCGCAGAAGTTTGATTCAGTCGTAGACAGGAGCCAAATGAAATCAGATGTGAAGATTGTATTTGTACCTGGCCCCAACATGTGTTGGTACTGGCTACGTACCAAAGCGCCTGCAGGACATTGAACAACCATTTTCGACTGTCACTTTGAGACGAAAAGTGTTCATAGAAGATTGGTAAAGGTGAATATTCCGTTGTTACAAATAACATACAGTCCCATGTAAAATCTGAAGAAAGTACAAGTACTACAGGAGCACTCGTGGTTGTATGGTTGTACTATTGTGACTAAATCCTAGGGTGTTCTCAGATGTGAAAAGCAGCCCGCTCTATGCAGAGTAGGGAGGACCGGTTATTGCATACCTATTATTGCTCTGTATCTGTATTCTAATGCGACGGTTATTGCATACCTATTATAGTTTAGCAACAATTGGAACTCTAATCTAAAATTGTACTCTGTTTTATTTTAGATTAGAGTTGAGCAGTGAATCTATTTAGCTTGTATGGTAGCTCCAACTCCAAGAATACGAGATTGTCAAGAGAATAGTCTGTCTAATACTCTAATATGCCCCTTCCCTTTATGACTGGACAGGACCGGCGGATCGATCGTGTCGGCCCCGGCCTATCATTCCTATCCAGAACAATTTCATTTCATCCTACCCTGTTTGTGTCTATTATTATATTATATATACACCGCGCCGGCCCCGTCCAAAGTCCAAACACAACAGAATAAATTAAACCACTATCAATAATAAGTTGTCCGAAAGCAACAGCATCACCATTAGGCCGTGAGTGAGATGAAAGCGAAGGAAATAGGAAAAAGGAAGCTGTCCTTGTCGCCTGTCGTCTCTGATCTCTCTCCCTCTCACGTACTTAATCCCACCTGTTATTTGACAAGCAAACAGATCGAGGAAGCAAGAAACCTCCCGTCCGGATCATCTGGTTTTGCTTCAAAGATACCTCTTCACCCCGCACCACCTTAATAAAATCCTGTGATCAGTCCAGCCCGGCTGTACTCCTGCACCTCCCCGTCTGCCCGTCCCCGCTCCACCAGTGAAGGAAAAACCCACACGCCAGACCGACGCGAGCCCGAGCAGGAGCAGGAGCAGGAGCAGGAGGAGCAAGAAGGCCGCCGAGGCAGGCAAGGCAAGCGGAAGCATCCCATCAAGCATGCTGGAGCTCCTGCTTGTGGGGTGTAGCAGCGTGGTGGTGCTCCTCCACGGCGCCAGCCTCTTCCTCCGCGCGCTCTTCGCCCCGCGCCACGCCGTCGCCAGGCCCATCAGGTGCGTGCGTGCTTGCCGTGCGCCGGCCGCGAGCGCCAAGCCGATCTCCAGTTCTGCACACTTGTGCGCCGCGGGCGTTACGCGTCATGATCTCTGATCTCACAAAGCGGGGGCTTTTTGCTTGGTGTGTTGTTTCGTGCAGCTTCCTCGGGTACGTGGCCTGACGCCCTGACCGGTCGTGCGCGATGGGCCGGCCGTGGATCGGGTGCGGATGCGGAGATCATCGTTTTCAGTACGTAGCTGCCAGCCAATGGATTTGAGGGCGCTAGAGCCCCTCATCGAGGATTCAGGATCGATCGATCCATCGATTGATGCAGATATATCTATACAGCTTGCTGGATGTATCACTGTGGTTCATGAAAATGAAAATATACGCATGTAAATTGTCCAAGTTACAAGCACCACACCAACAACTTTTTTTCTTTGGATCGCACCACACCAACAACTTACAGCTGTGCCCACAAGTTCTCGTTCTTTGGATCTGCTCCACGTACCGTGTGCAAAGTTTGTGCGTGGCCTAGTCGGTTCGGCAGTTGGCACCGGCCCGCGGTCGTGACTTCTTCCATAAACCAGTGAACCGCCGCTGTTGTCGAGTGATATGCCAACCCGCGGCGGAAATTGCGCGAGGGCGAGGCAATAAACGAGTCTCGCCTCTAGTTTCAGCTTTCATTCAAGTAGCCGGTGGATTGGTTTAATCAGTGACCAACAGCAGCAGGACGTGCGCACGCAGGATGCGAACAAACTGAAACCATATGGTTAAAAGCAGTGGATAGTGCTGAGATATTCAGCACGTAATTAGCTGGCCGACGATCGATCTGGTTGTTGGTTTATATATCTCTGCTATATACTACTACTGCCGTTTCTTCTCCGGTGTGCACTGCCTCAACACCAGTATAATATGCTACTGCTAGTATCTCAGATCCTCAACGATTGCATTCTTCAGTTTTACAGAGTTAGCAGTGCACAAAGTACCTCTTGCTATAACTCGATCATATCCGAGATATGTTTTCCCCCCCCAAAATCTCAGCTTATTACTAGCCCGCAATCTATGAATAGTTTTTTTTCTTCTTCTGGGTGAGCATGTTCACTCTATGATCTTAGTCCTTTGACATACGAGAGTACTCGATACAACTGCTCTTACTTTTTTTTTTAGCCGGGACTCCTAGTGTACAAGTTGTAGTATATGTACTCTACACATACAACTGCTCTTACCTGCTTACATTACATACACAACATAGAGTCTGGATTATTGTTCTCTAAATACGACCTCTATTTGCTCCGGCGGTATGGCCTATGGGAGAAACAACTGGTGAAAACAAGAGCTCCACATGCCCTCTGCACAGTGCCTTGTTGGCCCATTTTGGGCCCGAGATTGTTGGGCCTCTTGTTGGAAGCTAGGCCTAATGAGAACCTCCCAAAAAAAACCATTCTTCACAAATACTCCTATCAGCTACTCTGTACTCTGTAGTCCTCTCAAATGAAAATTACAAAAAACTTATAGATTTAGAAAAATTACCTCTGAACTTTATTAAATCCTGGCTCAAACCTAAGTATTGGAAATGATTTGGACGGGTTCCACGTTGGGGTGACCCTTGAAATATGGAAAAAATCAGTGGGGGGCAGTCCCCCATGAGGCAGCCGTGAGCACTTACCACGGATTTAATTTACCACATGAGTCGAATTTTTTATTTTTTAGCATTTTTTTGAAAAAAATCACAAATATGTCCTTAGAGGTAAGATTTTAAAATCTAGACCCTTAGCTCGGCGCCAGCGTTGCTCTTTGGCTAGACGTAAACGTGGCGGTGACATGGCAGGTAGCTCGGCGCCGTGCTTACTGGGTCTTGCAGGAGGCGGCGGCGGCACGAGACGAGAGCTTGACTTGGGAGTGCAGCGCCACGACGACTTCTCGTGGAACGGGAGCCGACACTGCACAGGGAATCTATCGGTCTGGTATTATTCAGGCGTGGTGACGGGTGAGGGGATCATGGGAAAGGGGCAGTGCCGGTCCTACGATTCTGAGGTCCTATGGCGATCTCATTGTAACGGCCCTTCTTGACCATGTTGTCGGATACCATGAGAAGGGGTACCCTAAGCAAGATCCAAAAACGAGCGCTTAGATTTCAGAAGATCGAAACCAGCTAAGCGGCTGCTGGCCTCGGCCGATTCTCCGACTCGCCCGAGGCCCCATCATGCTGGCCTCGGCCGATTCTCCGACTTCCCGAGGCCTCATCACCGGACCTCAGCCGATTCTCCGATTCGCCCGAGGCCCCCTCACCGCTGGCCTCGGTCGATTCCCGCCAAAGGCCTCGGCCGAGGCCACCGACCCTCCGTCTCTCGCAAAGGCGGGCTCGGAAGACTCGCTACCTCTTCCTTCTCCCGTCCCCCTCGGCAAAACGTCAGGTCGCATCAACTCACCAATCGCTGCCTCGACAACGACCGCATGCCCGCATAAAGATAAAGAAGAATGGCCGGATGGGGACAGAGGCGGGGATCAAGGCGGGGTTACCGCGCCATCGTATTTAACCACCGTGCACATGGTTGACACCCATGCCTCATTTGGCCGCCAACTCTGCTCCAAGGACAACGCAGCATGGGGAGCCACGTCTGGCCATGTGTGGCCTCGGAATCGCACCTGGGGCCAATAACTCCCCCAAGGCCTCGACAGTTTGCTTCACGGGCTCGGCAAACGAGGGTCCATGACCACCGAGCCCCACGATGGCTCGGCCTCGGCATCGCAGAGCCGCTGCTCCCCACGACGTCATTACACGGCGACCGAAGACGTCGCCCGCCATGTCCCGCATCAAGCCGTCATCGGAGCCCCACGACGCACAAGACCGAGTATGACCAAGATGTCACTTCCGCATGACAAGGACGGGCCACTCCATCGACCATACCACAACGTTGGCCGACATGTGGCTCGGACACGCCACCCCATTTCTGAAGCGCTATGTAGCACCACATGCACGGTCCCGGTCCTCCCTTAGAGTATAAAAAGGGAGGGATGGGGCCATTTCTAGGGAGAAAGGCGGAAAAGACGAACACGCCGATAGAACCCACGCACTCCTACGCCGCTTGGGAACAACGCCTCAAGCAGCCCGCACCACACTCGCCGAGACACAGGGCTAGTTCCTCTCTCACCTAGCTTGTAACCCCTACTACGAGCACTCCGGTGCAAGGAATACAAGATCGATCTCTCGAATTTGGACGTAGGGCCTCGATTGCTCGAACCAAGATAAACCTTGTGTCTCTTTGCGCCACCATCCGGGATTAGGGGCACGCAGCACAAATTCACTCGTTGGTTGAGGGACCCCGGTTCCAAAACACCGGCGGTTTGGCGCGCGCCGGTAGGGGCGCCTGCGTGTCAGCTTCGTCATCCTAGCAAGTTCCGGATGGCAGACTACATACGACCATTGCGTCTCGGCACCATAGTTTGGTTGGGGAGCCTAGAGTTCATGTCTCTAGGGCATGAGTACGACATGGTGCTCCTCACTCCTCGAACCCCACCGTCCGACGACGAAGTCGCGCCCCGGCAGCCCAGGCGCAGGCGGCGCCCGGGCCGCCGCTCTCGCCACGTTCGCCAGGCACGACGCGAGCAAGGCCACCCCGACGCTACGCGAGCCCAGGGCGACACGCCTCTCCCCGCCGATGTCCTACGACCAAATTGTTGGTACAGGGGTCCTCGGTCGGGGACCCTGTCCGACTGAGCACGGGCGAAGGAAAATCGCCGGTGGCTTACGGCGATGCCGGTCGTCTAACCCCGCCCGCCACTCCTCGAAGAGCCGACCGGTAAGGGAAGGAATATGGAGACGGCCCGCCCCCATACCCCTTTGGGTTGAGAAATGCCGCCGCCTCTCACGCTTACGCTTACGCGCCGCCACTCACGAGCACCCTCGAACGCCGCGCCAGCGCTTCGCTCTCGACTTGAGCACCCGCTCCGACTCCTCGGACGAGGACGAGGCATGGCCCAGGGTGGATTTCTCCGAACTTCACAACCCTGGGGATTTGCGCCAATTCTTGGCCGCAAGGGACTACTGCCTCGGCTACTCCGACTCCGACGATGAAGGGACTTACGATCCATCTCGTGAGTGCTTCCACGTCGGGCTCGGGATGCCAAGGGCGGGCGAAGGGAACGAGAGGACAGGCAACCATTCCCCGCCCCGGGCAGGGGCGGGTGACGCCACACCATCGCGTCTCGAGGCCCCGGCAGCACGGAACGAGAATCCCGCCCGCGGGGGGCATCGATGCCCAGACCTGGAGCAGCTCCACGAGCTTCAAGCCAAGGTCGAACAAGACCGACTCCTTCTGCAACAGCTTCGGGACACTCTCGAGCAGGAGCAGCAAGGGCGCGGTGAGGGCGGAGGGGCCCGAGGGAGGACTCCCTGGGGATTTGCGCCAAGACTTACGTCCTCTGTGACGGCGAGTTGTATAGGCGTAGCCCATCCGGTATTCTCCAACGATGCATCACCACCGAGGCTGGCCAATCCTTACTTTGGGACTTGCACGCGGGAGTCTGCGGGCACCACGCGGCGCCTCGGGCGCTCGTGGGTAACGCCTTCCGCCAAGGTTTCTATTGGCCGTGGCGGTGGCCGACGCCACGAGGCTAGTACGCCTCGCGAGGGATGCCAAGATTACGCCGACAGACGCACCTCCCGCCCAAGCCCTCCAAACCATCCCCATCACATGGCCATTTTGTATGAAATTTGGACATGGTTGGGCCTCTACTAAAAAGGCACCCGGGCTATACCCATCTGCTGGTAGCTATCGACAAATTCTCCAAATGGATCGAGGCTCGTCCAATCACTCGAGATCAAATCCGAGCAAGCGGTGTGTTTTTCTGAGATATCATCCATGTGTTGGGGTTCTAACACCATCATCAC